GAATTATTTCAGCTCAGTACTAATGTGGACACGAGAACGAATGGATATAAACTGGCCGTCGGGAAGTTTAGGTTTGAAATTAGACGAAGGTTTCTGACCGTCAGAGGGGTGAAGTTTTGGAACAGCCTTCCGAGGGAAACGGTGGGGGCGAAAGACCTCTCTGGCTTTAAGATTAAGCTTGATAAGTTTATGGAGGGGATGGTTTGATGGGATAAAGTGATTTTAGTTAATAGGTCAATAATGTGCCATCGCTGGTAATTAGTAACAATGGTCAATGATGGGATATTAAAAGTTACTACAGAGAACTTTTTCCAGAGGGTCTGACTGGAGAATCTTGTCCGCATGCTCGGGGTTCAGCTGATCGCCATATTTGGGGTCGGGAAGGAATTTTCCTCCAGGGTAGATTGGCAGAGGCCCTGGAGGTTTTTCGCCTTCCTCTGCAGCGTGGGGCAGGGGTCACTAGCTGGAGGATTCTCTGCGACCTGAAGTCTTTAAATCATGATTTGGGGACTTCAACAGCTGAGTCAAGGGAGAGAATTATTCCAGGATTGGGTGGGTGAGATTCTGTGGCCTGCGTTGTGCAGGAGGTCAGACTAGATGATCATAATGGTCCCTTCTGACCTTAAAGTCTATGAGTCTACACAGGTACCTGACCCAGGAATTATCACCATAAGCAAGTTTCTGAGGCCTGCATTCCTCAGGCCAGGAGTCCCTCCTGCGCATGTCAGACCGCAGAGGTCTCACCGCGGGCACCGTGACTGACAGCCCTGGAGGCACTGACCACTGGCCGTATCCTGTGAGCACAGCCAACCGGTGTAACCAAGAGCCGGTTCAGAGGGGATGTGATCACAGGCCATACGGACCTGCCTGGGGGACCGATGTCTGAGAGCAGACAGCTGTTTAGTCCGAGATCTAGTGGCTCGAAGTTGAAGCAAGACACATTCAGACTAGATTTCAGAGTAGCAGCCGTGTTAGTCTGTATCAGCAAAAACAACGAGGAGTCCTTGTGGCACCTCAGAGACTAACACATTTATTTAAGCCTAAGCTTTCATGGGCTACAGCCCACTTCATCAAATGCATAGAATGGAACATACAGTAAGAAGATATATATACATACAGAGAACATGAAAAAGTGGAAGTAGCCATACCAACTGTAAGAGGCTAATTAATTAAGATGAGCTATAATCATCAGGAGGAAAAAAATGTTTGTAGTGATAAATCAAGATGGCCCGTTTAAGACAGTTGACAAGGTGTGAGGATACTTAACATGGGGAAATAGATTCAATATGTGTAATGATCCAGCCACTCCCAGTCTCTATTCAATCCCAAGTTAATGGTATCTAGTTTGCATATTAATTCAAGCTCAGGAGTTTCTCCTTGGAGACTAGAGACCATGTGCACGTCTTTCCCAGGGCGGAGAATCAAAGGCTGGAACAACTCACCGAGGGAAGTGGTGGGTTCTCCCGAGTCTCTAACTCCCGACGGGACGTCTTTCTAACAGACTCTCTCCAGCTCCGCCAGACGTGCCAGGCTGGCGGCGGGAATGACTGGGGGGGGGCTCTCGGCTCTGTGTATGCGGCAGGTCAGACGAGATGATCATAATGGTCCCTTCTGGCCGTAAGATCTGTGACTCCTGCCCCCGGATGTAATTCCTTCAGGGGGAGTCCAGCTGCCCAACGGGTACATGAAGTGCACTCACACAGCTGAGTGCCGGGTTCTGCTGCCCTCTCGCTTCCTGCTCCTAAGAGATGTGAGCCGGGGAAATTGTAACCCAGCCCCCTCCTGCCCTGCCCGGCACTGACACCTTCTGTACCACGCACCTCAGTCACCGTGTCTGACGCGCCTTCCTACATCCTACTGGGGTAGAACCTCACAGTGACCCGGGGTGTTTCGTGCCCCACAATACTGAACTGGGGATATCTGTGTAACTTACACTCAGATTGGCTCATGGGGGTAACCCATAATTATGAGTCCAGACACGGCCCCAGGACTGTCTCTCTCATTCCAGCTGCTCCCAGACTCTCCATCCCCCGGCGATCGGCCAGGACAGACACAGAGACCTCCTTCCCCTGCCACGTGTGGGGATTCTACCCCGGGGACGTCACCGTCACGTGGCTGAGAGACGGGCGGGTTCTGACTGACGTCACCCGCTCTGCCCCCCAGAGGAACCCGGACGGGACCTTTAACCTCACCCTGACCTATACCTTCACCCCCAGCGTGAGCGACTCCGGCAGCATCTTCTCCTGCCACGTCAGCCACGCGGCTCTGGCCCAGCCCCTGCGGGAGGAGTTCCCCCTGGATGTCACAGGTGAGGGGGTGTTGGGCTCCCGGCTGAATGTTATGGGCTGCAGGGAGCACTCAGTTGAGTCTGACATGGGACCCCAGCAGAGACCCATGCTGGTACATGGGGGAATATTGGGGATGGAGGGTGCGATGCTGGAGCCCCCAGGGCTGAAGGGGCCCAGTACAGTAGTGGGGGGTGGTGGGAGGCCAGAGGAGCGCTCAGATCTGACTGTGGCTTTATAACAGAAATGCCAGGGCAGCCGGCTCCCTCTGACCCCCAGCTCCCCCCCCTCCCCACACACACACTGCGCAGGCCCCAGGCTGGGGGCACAACAAGGCTGTAATTCTGCCTGACAAAATACGCCATAAAGGGCCAGGCCCAGCGACCCCAGGCAGCCCTGCGCCTCCGTCCTGCACCCCCGGCAGGTGGGGGAGCGTGGGGAGGGCACCGCATCTCATGGGGAGGTGCCGTGAACCGGGTCTAACTTTCTCTCCCTTTCCCGTCCGGGTGCAGGAGCGGATCACACCAGCGCCGCGATCGGGGCGACCCTGGGGATCCTGGTCACAGGGGGAGCTGCGGCTGCATTAGCCATTTACTGCTGGAGACGGAGGAGGAGGCCGGAAGGTAACAGGGGGCGGTGCCATGGGCCAGTGGGGGGGGGGGTTGCATTGTCCCAGAAGGAGCAGAGAGTCCGGGGAGGCTGAGGGGACAGGGACACAGCCAGGGACACCCCAGGGGCTGTGGGGTTGGGGGGGTCTCTACAGACTGAGCCCCCTGCAGCAGATGACTGGGGGGGAACAATGTAAAGGGGGGACAGTGACTGCCCCACATGTTGCCTCTGGGAGGAGCTTCCAGCCCCACCTCCCTGGGCCAGGGCAGCCAATCCCCCCCCCCGGCTCCTGGGTACGCTGGGGACACGGGCGGAGAGCACGTGCCTCTGGGCCTGTCTGGGGCCAACCCTGTCCCTGGGAGACTCACAGCACCAGTGTCTCCCCAGAGGTCGCAGACACCGCAGTGTGGGGCGGGGGCGAGCAGTGCCCCTATCTCCAGCTCAGCAGGGGCCAGGGAACCTGCTCCCAGTGACCCCCTGCCCTGCGCCCAGCGTGGGGGCTGCCGTGTGTGACGAACTGGGACTGTTCTTACTGTGGTCTGTGAATGCTGACAGGGGAGTGTGGCTAGGATAGTCTGCATTGTGGGATGGGAGACTGACCGGAGAATACCTGAGCGTGTAACATGAGAACCCAGGAAGGGGTTAGAGGCCAGGTGACACCTTTGCCCGGGAAACTGAACAAAGGCGGTGGGAGGGGTCGCTGAAGGGAGAGTTTCAGGAGCTGGCTGGTGGAATGGCTGGGAGGCAGATGGGGCTCTGACCTCCCAAGGGGGTTAGGGTGCCCTGGGACCCCAAGATGGACCTAACTGAGGGGGTCCTGTTGTCTGTGCCTGCAAGACCTGTCTTGGACTGTGTTCCTGTCGTCTAAATAAACCTTTTGCTTTACTGGCTGGCTGAGAGTCATGGTGAATCGCAGGAAGCCGGGGGTGCAGGGCCTTGTGTCCCCCCACACTCCGTGACACCGTGCTCTGCCCACCACCAGTTACCTGCGGGGGTGTCTCTGTCCTTCTCCCACCGTGCCTCCCCGCAGCTCACTTGGCTGCTCTCCCTGGCAGCTGGGGGCAGGAGGG